AACTGATCACAACCTCAAGACAATGCAAACTACTGGTCTGAATTGAGACCTAGGTTTCTGCTCTCATTACCATGTTGTCATTTGGCGTCTGAAATCACATCACTCTCCAAGATCTAAGGACTGATGGACTCATATTCCAGCTGTATCTGACGAAGTGAGCCATGATACATGAAAGCTTATACTCTGCCACAAATTTTGTTAGTCTTTGAGGTGCTGCTGGACTGTTGCTCCCTTTCACTAAAAAGAAATGCAAGCTGTGCTGTTAGCCCCCCCATCTGTTAGAAATGGAAAGGGGGATCTCTCCCAAGTGCCATGGGACTCTCCCCCTCTCTCTGGCATGCTCTTTCTGGCTCTTTCCCACCCCCTCCCTTTCTCTGAAGAAGTGTGCATGCCCACAGACACTTATACCTGGAATAAAATGTTTTTTCTCTAAAGAAGAGAAGAAGAGATTGGATTTGAGCCGACCCTCCATACACCATTTTCACAGGGACAAGGTGACCCTACTTTTTATCTAAGATCGTGTCGGCTTTTCACTTGTCCCAGCCTGTCATGCTACCTACTTTCTTTGCTAATCCAATAGATGATGGCCAGAGGGCTCTTCACACGTTAAAGAAAAAGTGTGCTTGCACACAAAAGCATATACCTGGGATAAAGCATTTTTGGTCTTAAATACAGGTGTCTGTCTGTCTGTCTGTCTGTCTGTCTGTCTGTCTGTCTGTCTGTCTGTCTGTCTGTCTGTCTGTCTGTCTGTCTGTCTGTCTGTCTGTCTGTCTGTCTGTCTGTCTGTCTGTCTGTCTGTCTGTCTGTCTGTCTGTCTGTCTGTCTGTCTGTCTGTCTGTCTGTCTGTCTGTCTGTCTGTCTGTCTGTCTGTCTGTCTGTCTGTCTCTCTCTCTCTCTCTCTCTCTCTCTCTCTCACACACACACACACACACACACACACACACACACACACACCTGGAATAAAACGCTGCTGGTCTTCTTAAAAGTCCCATGAGATGCCATTTTCCCCCTCTCTCTCTTTCCCCGCCCCTCCATCTCCCTCCCCAGAGGAGGAGGGGGGAGGAGCCCTCAGCCAATTGAGGGAAGGCTTTCTTTCTCTCCTCTGAAGCAGGAAATATGAGAGACTGGGAGAAAGGTGCTGTGATGTTAGAAGCAGGAAGCAGCACAGAGTCAGTTGCTCTCAGACCGGATTGTGGCTTTGCAGGGGCTGGATGTGGCCCACAGGCCATATGTTTGACACCCCTGAGTTACCACTTCAGTACCATCACATTTTATCTTCACCATCAGTACCCCCTCAACTGGCAATTGTTACTGTCACCCACTGAAGGAATTCATTCAGTAGGCAGAACAACTTGTTCCAGTGGCCTCTTTGTTAGATCTAGATATCAAGCAACTTACATTTGCCATCAAAGATCCAGTCTTCCAACTAGTAGACTCCAGTGTCCATATGCTTGTGGCAGTCCCTGTGCTTTTCAGGTTACCAAAAATTTGTAGGACAAACCATCCTTGCTTCTGTCCTCCTTTAGGATGTGTGTGTAAAAGTAGGTGTATTTTCACCAAAGAGGATTGCTCTCCCCCCAACTTCATTTATGCTCTACTTTTCTCCCCCGTGGAGACCCAAAAAAGTTTACATGGAGAATAATAGAATCATAAAGTTGGAAGGGACCTCCAGGGTCATCTAATCCAACCCCCTGTACAATGCAGGAAATTCACAAATACACACACAGAGCAGTGAACCCTGCTCCATGCCCAGAAGATGGCAAAAAATCTCCAGGATCCCTGGCCAAACTGGCCTGGAGAAAAATTGCTTCCTTAACCTAAAGTGGTGATCAGCATTTCCCTGGGCATGTAAGAAAGGGCCACAAGAACTAAGCACTGATGCAGTTGTTCCTGCCCTCCCTCTCATGATCTACCTAAGTTCATAGAATCAGCATTGATGTCAGACCTAGCCTCTGTTTAAAAACCTCCAAAAGAGGAGAGCCCACCACCTCCCGAGGAAGCCTGTTCCACTGACGAACCGCTATGTCAGGAGGTTCTTCCTGATGTTTAGCTGCAAACCCTTTTGATTTAATTTCAACCTGTTGGTTCTGGTCCAACTATCTTATCCTCACAACAACCCTATGAGGTTGGTTAAGCTAAGTGTGTGTGATTAGCCCAAGGTCATCCAACAAACTTCCAAAGCAGCAAAGGTATTTGAAACTTAGTCTCCCAGATCCTAGTCTATCAATGTAATCCAGATCCTAGTCCTTCACTGTACACCACATTGGCTCTACCTGTTATCAAAACCTATCCAATATCCAATGCAGCTTATAAGGAAGGCAGAAAGCTTGATGCCATGTGATAGAACTGTTGTTCTTCTGCTGAGTATTTGCCTCCCTCAGTACAAAAAGGACTTTGTAGTGCTCTTCAGATCAAGGCTTTACACCTCGCAAAGCAACAAATGTGACATGTCGTAGACTATGGTTTAAAGGCCATAGCAAGTTCTCTTGCCTTTCATTAATGTGTTACTGTCTCTCATTCTTTCCTTTGAAGCTAGAGGCAGAATTGAAGACCTACTGCTTCATAACCAATGACCTGCCATAGCCATTCTGCTTCCATTTTTTTGGACTTTAGTCTATATCCCTTTGGTCTGTAACCATTCTGTGAAACTCAAGGTGGTCTAGCAAACCCTTGTCTGAGGATTGTTTTGGTTGATGTTTGCAAGACAAAAGGGCACATTGAGCAACAGAATAGGCAGGAGCAGGTCACCTTTGTGTGACTGAATTTTAATCATGAAATACAATGGCCAGCTAGCATGGCAAGCAGAAAGCTGTAGTCCAGGTTAAAGGATAAATCCAGAGAGAAATTACTCATAAAAGCATAGTTGGCTCTATGTTGTTCTCAGCATTTTGATCCTATCACCATAACATTGAACACAGTACTCTTCTCTTGTCAGTCTTGCCTAACAAACAAATCCCCAGTAACAAATGACCTCTGACAATAATCAGTGACCAAAAGAGGATTCTCAGTGAGATGCGCTATCCAACTTCCTATTTTACTTAACTTCTGCTTTGAAAGCTTTTCCTAGAAATACCCCTTTCCACCTTAGATTCCCCCTGTATATT